GAATGGTATTGATCCTAATTTCTCTAATTAATAAACCAACCTTTTACCTTATAACTTTAATTAGTTAAACTCATAATTTAAAACCCAATCCATCATTATTGCTCTTCCATATATATACATACATATATAAACATATACATTGATTATAGTGATTTACATTGATAATTCTATTGACGCCAACAAGACTTTAGGATTGTTGACATAAATTATTATCCTTCAGATACCTAAAACATTGCTATACGCGTTAAAGTCTATTTTTTAGTTGGTAGACTTCGCAATCGACTCGTATAACAATATCATCCATATTATTTTTATATAAAATAGTCTTCAAAATTACTTTATATAAGATTCTAGTTAAGTTACTAAAAACAACATTAGAAATAACAATTTTATTTAATATGAACAAGTTGATTTACTAAATATAGTATTTGTTAATCTTTTATTTAAGAAATGCAATTAAAATTAAATATTTTTTCTTTTTTAAGAATTCTGTATATTATTACATAAAAGAAAATATTGATGATAATGATCTAAAAGAAAATGATAATTACTAAAAAATCTTTTATGTCTTATATGTCTTTTATATTATCTATACTATTTATTTCTGAATAAAATTATTTTAAGAAGAAAATATAATTGTAACCTCTATTTAATATATTATTTCTATTTATTTTATTATATTTATATCATTTATTTATTATATTACATTTATTACATTTATTATATATATTTCTTTTTATTATTTTAATAATTTTATATATTTAATTTTATATAAATACAAAAAAAATTTTTTAGTTTAGCATATATTTAATTTATATTTTCTTTAAATAGTTTATTCTAATTCCTTTAAAAACATTTATATAGTACAGAATGTCAATTGAGATAGTACTTACTTGTTACAATTGTTAAATAAATTATTTGCTGATTAATACTCTTTTAAATCAACTATAAAAATTAACCTTATATTTACCATTTGAAATTATTATATTGCTTATCATATTAGCATTTTAAAGAACTGACTATAACAATATTAATGGATTAGAAAAATATAATTAGCAGTTACTTTTTAAAGCAATCATTTATAAGTTAATTTTTAAGAATTGTAAATCAAAAATAATGATTTTTGTATTTCACAAAAATTCATAGAATATGATTATAAAAATGATTTTCAAAATTTTGGTCTGATTTATGATTTAGCAATCATCGTAATGCTGGCTGACATTAAGTTTGACCAGAATTTGCGAATCGTAATATTGGCTGATCTTTGCCAAATCTCAGAAAATCATCCGATCCGGATATATGTTTATCCGTGAACGGTATCCAAATTTAGGATCTGTTTTCTAAACATGTTTGTCACGTGATCGATTTTAAAATATATATAGATTTTTTTTTTCTCAAACAAATGAAATACACTTGAAAAATGACATAAGCCAAAGAAAATTCAAAAGTTTTGTTTTTAATAAAAGAAAGAAATTTTTAACCCAGAAATTCAACAAATACAAAAAAAAAAAAAAATTTTGATCAAAAAATATATGCCAAGAAAAAAAAATAAAATCGAAAAAAAATAATTATTTGGTGATAAAAAAAAAAAAGATCATTGAAAAAAATCCTTATTTTCGTCACCATACTTTTTCACATGAAAAGTCCTATTTAAGCGGAAACCCTAAATAAGCCGTCTCTAAGATATTTATACCCTTATTTCAACAAAATTCTCACTATCGAAGAGACTATAATAATAATAATAATAATAATAAAATAAGAGAAATTAAAAAAAAAAAATTTTTTTTTGACAATACAAAAAAAAGCCAAAGTCATTCTATATAAGAAAAAAAAATTAAAATAAAAGAAAAAATTAACTTTACAAATTAACCAAATTACTTCGCGTGAAAAAATTGTAAATCCATAAAAACCATCACACAAAATTATATTAGGTAGAACTCAAACCACCGCCAATTTGTAAATTGGAACCCATTGTAAAATCATCATCATCGTCGTCGTCTTCTTCTTCATTATATTCTGCTTCCCATTGTGATGTTAATTCCTCAACAACAGTGCTTGGACCATGTCTCATTCCAATGTCTAATTTTTCCATCCAATCATCAGGTACCAAAGGTATGAATTCACCTTCTTTCTCTTGTCCACCATAATTAGCCAACATTTCTGTGCTGGTCGGTATAGCGAACGGTAATAATAATTCACTATCTTTCATCTCCATCAAATCTTCATCATCTTCCCAACCTGGTCCTGTACCACAAGGCGGTAATGTGGGTGATACCGTGAGATAAATGATACTAGAAGCATCACTTCGATCGCTCCGTATGCTTTCGGTGGAATATCTTTTCTTCCGTCGTTCGGTATCTTCTTCCAACTGTAAGATGTATTGTTGACATTCTTCGGTTATCCTTGGCTCATTAACCTCATACCGATAATTTTTACTGACCCGCTTAAGTTGAGCGGGGTTAATAAGATTAAGTTCTTTTGTCGTTTGAATCAAAATTAGGAAATCTGTCATTTGCGACCAACACATTAATAACTGTAAGAGCTGAATTAATGGTTGAAAGTGTGTTATCAATGATAATGACAAATTATTCGTATGAACCCAATCTTCAATAGTTGAAATGTTTAGACGAATTTGCATTGCTTTTGATCGGCACAAGTATTTCTTCTTGGATAGTATTTTGTTAAATAGTTCACATGATATGAAATAGAACAATTGATTCATAACTTGTTCTATAATCATGGGATGTATCTCATAAGTTTGTAGGACAAAAAGTGTGGAGGATAATAAAGAAGTGACATTACGAGGGGATGGTGCGCTCCTTTGTCTTGGTGATTGAGGTGCACGGAATGATAAAATGCTGCTTGTTGATGAACTTCGTTTCAAAGATGTAGAAGTTGGTATAAATGCAGGATTATAATTTACGGGGCTCTTTGACCTTCGTATTAAATGTTTGAAAACACGCCATTCACCCTCGAATCTCACATCATCCAATCCCGGAATTGTATCAAACTCTAATACAGCTGCCTCTAATATTTTATCAATACGTCTTTGAGCATCTTTTATTAAGAGAACATATATTTCATGAAGAAGTTCTGAAATTCGTAATTGATATTCTACTGTTGCGATAGCAAGTCCAGTATCTTTCTTCAAATAGTACAACAATAACGTGCAATTTGAGATCCAGAAAGATAACAAAGTCATATCTTCAGGTCGTGCCTAGATGATCACAGAGAATGATTATTAGATAATGGTTCATCATAATTTAAAAATTAAAATTAAAATTTAATAATATTTTTGTACCTTGATTGATTGATCGATCGCAGAAATGACGGAAAATAAAAGTGATTCCAATAATTCAGAACTGCTAAAATAATGAGCGAAGCGAGCGCTCAAAAATATAATATTTGCTGGGACAGGTTTTTGTACTTTTGATCGTATCGGTTGCATATCCAAGATCACGGTTTTTAAAATATGCGGTATGTCTTCTTGTGAAAATACGAACATTTGATCTGGAAGACACATGTGCCACAAGAATTCCGATAATGGATCTTCTTCTTCATCTTGAGCCTATAAGGATAAAGAAAAAAAAATAAAAGAAAAAGGAGGTTAACAAACAAAAAGGGGGAGAAAGAAAGAAAAAGATAATTAAACCAAAAACACACCTCAAGCTCATCTAACCCAAGACTTGCCATATCTACTTCCAAATTATAGGCACTTTCCATTAACATTCTCTTTTTCATTTCAGATTCAGCCATTTGCTCAACTAACTTATTATCGGAAGGATCATACCATGACCAACGGCCTATGCTACCAGCACTTGACCAACTGTCACGTTGAGGATTATGATTGAAAATCTCGGCGATTTTTGGATTTTGTTCAGGCGTCATAAAATCAAATACAGTTCGGCGATTAGCAGTTTTAGCTGTGGCATCCGCACCATGGTCCAAAAGCAATTTAACGACCGCATCACGACTATTATTTGCGGCCCATATTAATGGCGTCCAACCATCTAAAAGTTTGGGGGGGGGGGGAGAGAAGTGATTAATTTTTAATTGTTACGCAACACCTTGAAACCGTATTATCTCGTGTAATTCGAATACTTACTGGTATCTTTAGCATCAACTTGAGCACCAGCTTCCAATAACGTGAATGCAACAGATTCATGCCCAAAGCAAGCCGCATAAATCAAAGGAGTTGTGCCTTCTTCATCTTGGGCATCAATATCAATGTATTTCCTTACAGTTTCCAACATTGTTGACACTTTTTCCAAGTTTCCATTACTAGAAGCCCTTGTAAAGATGCGAGTGATATTCTCCTTTTTCTCCTCTTCTGACAAGGAAGCATCTGAAGCGATGATCTTTTCATCCCCAAGAGGATCAAACATCAGAGAATCAATGGTCAATGGAACTTCAGTTTGATCATCATCAGATTCTTTTTTTACAAACTCTATATCGCCAACAGAATCATCAGTTTGTGAAATTGATTTATTAAACTTTATGGATTGTAAGTAATCTTCTTGATCATTTGTGTCATTAACCCATCCGTCTAAAAGACTATTTTGATTTGAGTCGGTAATTTGTGATAGCTTTTTATCTATTAATGCTTTTGTTTCAACTTCAATTTTACCATTCATCATTTTCACGTCAATTTCTTGAAACAAATTGTCTCTAATAATTGGACCTGTATTCAAGGGTTTATCATGTATGAGTTGAAGTGAATGAGGATCTGAACAATGAACTTCTGTCATTATAAAAGCTTATTTCTATACCTTTGTTTTTTTTTTAAAAAAAAAAAAAAAAATTGAGTAAATAAATAATAATAATAAAAAAAAAAATAAATAAAAGAAATTATGAAAATAAATAAAACCTACTGTACTTACGATGTGAAAGTATTTTAAAAGTTGCCCAAGTATTTCAAAAAATAAAAAAAAAATACAAGGTCGAAAAAAAATAATAATTACGAAAAAAAAAAAAATATACAAGGAAAAGGCTGGTCAGTTTCCAAAATATATTTTTTTTACTTTAAAAAAAAAACGAAAATTGGTTTTCACCGGGAAAAAGAATCGAAAGATGAAAAGGTATTATAAGAAATATAAAACTTAGGAGTCGCTCAGCGTCCTTATTCTTATTAGAATATATTTAAATAAATAAAAAAACGAATTTATTGCCAATTTTGTGTCGTCAAAATAAGTCGAAAAAATAAATAAACGAAGATTGCCAGATTTGCCAAAAAAAAATATTTAAAAAGAATAATTAACGAAATATTGTAAGAGAATTTTTTTTAATTTTTTAATTTTTTTTTTTTTTTTTTTTTTTTTCAAAAAAAGGTACTGAATCGTTAGTTAATTAGACAGCGAAACTAATTAAAAAAAAGGTTTATTTGAAAGTATTTGTTTTTAAATATCCATTAAAAACATTCAAGACGAAGATAGATAAAAAAAAATAGTTTAAAAAAAAAACGGAAATTTTTTTGGGATGATGAAAAAGAACTTTTACGAAAGGGAATAAGAGTTTCCTTTGTTTCCCTCTGAAAATAACCGAAACACCATAAAGGTGGCTAAATAAATTGAAGTCCGCAATGATTTTAAAAAAAAATCGAATTGACGTCAATAACTGAACAAGTCACAACAGGTTTTAGAATAACAGTATAAATAAACCCACATGCAAGCAATAGAATTCCAAAACTGACCATTAAACATTAGTTAAAATTCAAGAAATATAATGATTAATTGAATGGTAAGATAATGTGATTTAACATATGGCTTCTCAAGTTCTTAAATTGGAAATGTAAACCATGTTGTGTTTGGCATTTCAATTGAGCTGAGCCTCAATCATTCAAGTATTGGTGCCAAAATGTCGTGACAAAAAAAGGAAGAGGTAGATCACCGCAGCTCGTTGATTTAATATCTTTCAATCCGATTGTTTTACCATAATAGAAGTAAAGTATTTCCGGTTATTTGTAACGGAAAATCATTTTAGAAGTCCATCATATAGATATTTATAAATTTCGTTCCATTTTAGAATAGTCGATCGGAGACCCCGGAGGGCGCATGATTAACCATTTTACATTCGCATTTAAACTCCGAAATCCTCAAAGTCTCGTGACACCATTTCATACGTGCGTCATTTTCAATTTTCAATGAACGCGATGTTTATAATAATATTTTTTTTTGTTGTTCATTCTTTTTACACTTGTATACAAATGTCTGTTATCTTATCTCACCTAATTTCAACAGTGCAACAAACACACACCTGAATGGTTTGTACATTTGATCTTCGCATAGGCTTTTGTATTCAAAATGCATAAGGTACACCACATGGCCTCTTATTTACAGGTTGAGCAGGAAGAAAATTCAACAAAAAGTCGATGTGTCGGATTTTCCTCAAGGCAATGTTTTAAATGTATTATGTATGGTATTGGGTCGAGGTCTTGATTTTGTTATTAATCTAACCACCCCTGGTTTGTACACTGTAGCCTGTTTACCAGGCAAAGGTTAGTAGTCGGTAGAAATCGGGAAAATATTATGATACATGAAATAGGATTATTCAAAACCAAAATTATATATTCAAACAGGTATGTACAAATGTCAAGTGCGTCAATAATAATTGAAACATTTTTCGAGTGACTTGTTAAAAAAAATTGGTGATAACGATAAACAATATAAGTCAATTGTTTCCGAAATATTATCTGTCGAATGGCGTTAGCACAGTTATTGCACGTCATTGAACAGTTTGAATAATTCCCCAACTTTTCATTCTTTTTTCATGTGATATCAGAAATTTTAACAATGGTAATAATTCTTGCCTAAGGAGTATTATTAGCAAATCATTCATTAGACGAATTTGAGTAGATTAAAAAAATTTTACAGTTTAAATTTTGTAGGTTACAGGGTTGTTCTTGACGTACGCCCAATTTCCTTACAAGGCTTTGCGTCAATAATGATTTGGAAAATAAACTTTTTATCTTACACTACTTTTGAACCTTTATATCACTTTAATAAATTGAACTAACCAAACTCTACTGAAAATCCTTTTTTTTTTTTCGCTCCTTGCCGAAAAAAATTTTGGTTGTAAACCATAGATAAGTAAGTTTGTGACTTGATTCGCAATAGAATTTTCCCAAAATATTTGAAGGGTCAGCCTCCCAATTTTCGCGCCATTCGATCACATGCTTTGCTTTTGCCAAATTAATCAAATTATACCCGTTTATTTTACTGTTGTAAGGGATTCATCATTTTCATCACTAGCCACTATTTTAGTTTTATCGGTAAGCTTCTTTGGATGAGGCTGTGTCATGAAACACTAGCTTTTAATGTTATGTTGTAATGTAAACTTGGTAAAATCAATTTCGTAATATATTTAATATATTTGCTAAAACATGTTTGGTTAAAAATATTAAAACTATTTTGAAAATCAATACCTTTATTTTCATCAAAATTTGTTTATTTGTTTATTATATTAAAAGTATTTTTATAAAATAAACTAAATAAAATCAATATTAATAAATAATTAAATTTAATCTTATAATATTTTTACTTTTATCATTATTATATTACAATATTTTTATTGAAAATTTATAATAATTTACTTTTTACATTTTTATTTTAATATTGAATTATATATCTATATAAATTAAATAATATAAATTAAATAGATAAAAAAAAATAATTATTATGCTTTATATTTTTAAAATTTAAATTAATTATTATCTAAAGTATAATATAAATTGTTTATGATATAATTATATGAGACCTTGCAATAGAAAAACTATTAAGAAAAATAAAATTGAGTTAATTTTAAAATTAAATAAATTTGACTTAAAATTTATATTTGACATATAAAATAAAGCTAATAGTTTCTTCTTTTTTATTATACAAATTTTATATATTAATTTATATTATTCTTTATATTAATTTATTCTTTTATTTATATATATATATCTTTTTTAATTTATAATACTTTTCATCCCTTCAATTGTTTTGTCTACAAATTTATAGGCAGTTCTTTTTAATTATTTTTAAATATTTTAAAATATATTATTAAAAAAATTAATACTTTTATAATAAATTTTATAATGTTCTTTATGAAAAATTAAAAAAAAATGTAATTAACTAGTAATTTTTTAAAGATAAATATTATAAAAAAAAATTAAAATTTAAATTCATATATCTTACTATTTATCAAACTCAAAAATATAAAATTACTACTATTTAATAGGTCTTAATGTGATAAATCCAATTAATTAAATTTTAAATTTTTATAATTATTTTTTTAAAGATGTAGTGATGCAATATTCTATTATAAAAATCAAATTTAGTATAAAAAACATAAAAATTCCAAGATAGATACAAAAATAGAAAAATAAAAATTGCTGCTTAATATTCATTAACTCCTACCAGACTAACTGATTATCCTATCTGTTTCTGATTGTAAAGATTAATTAAATAATCATCAATATCAAACTGAATAAACAGAAATGTTAGAACAACTGATTATCACTGGTCTAAGAAGAGGGATTAATAGCGATCATATTTGTAAGAATTATTAATTAAAGTAAAATGATCTAGACTATTTGTATTATTAGCAAATTGTGTGTTAGAAAAACTATTAATGGAAAGTTAATATTAGATGAAGCAAAATTGCTCTTCTTTTATCACTTGATTATGTGTAAGAATTTTTCTTTGACTAATGTTAAATTATATCTAGTTTTCTATATATTGTTATATGTTAATCAAAAATAAAATCAAAAAAGATGAAAAAATAGATGAAGTAGTGGAGGATAATTTAATGAATGATGTTAAGGTTGATGATAAAAAAGTAGGAACAATCCCTTTAATAATATCAATAAAAGAGAAATCATATGGATTTGCTCGTAATGATTAGATTGAGTATAAAGAATTAAAAAGATTATTAATATTGTCTGCAAATTCAGATTTTGAAGTGTAAATAAATAATTATAGTTTTAAATAAGCAATAGAATTAGAGATTAAGAATCGCATATATTGTTTAATATTAAGGTAAAGTCAAAAGTAATTAAAATCTTCATTATAACTATTATAATGGCAACATTTTCAAAAAGATAGATATAGCTGAAATTGAGTAGCTTTCATAAATTGAACTATTAGAAGTTACTCAAGAAGAAATTTGAGTTTTTTACTATGTCTTCTTATTTTATTAAAGAATGTAACAGATACTGATCTAGTTTGAATGAATTAAAAAGTTAAAATCCAATTTACTTGTAAGTGTTAGTATTTGGTATTTTGTTTGAGATATTAATAATTAGAAAAATATTTAGTATTAATATAATCTTTTAAAAAGAAACGTAAAGGATGATGTATAGGCATATGATTAAATTTAAGTATATAATTAATGAAAGGAATATAATCTAAGAATAAATTTAAAGAGGAAGAAAGAAGAGAAGATTTTGCTAATTAATTAGCCTTATCATTATACAGATCATTAGAGTGAGCAATGACTTTGTAGAGAAAATAATAATTTATCATTCTTTAATAATTTTAAAAATAATAGACCAGAAAATGTAAAAGGAAACTTTGAACATATAGGGTCTTTGCAATAGAAAGGGAGGAAACTCTAAAAAAATTAAAATTTTAGTTTATAAGCCAAAAATGTTTCAAATACTATAATTTGTTCAGATTTATTATTAACTCAT